AAGTCATCACATAGAATGGAAATAATAAAATAATAAAAATAAAACATTATTCTGTTTAATTTTTATTATTTTATTATTTCCATTCAACGTGACTTTACCGAAAGAACCAAGAAGATGAATCCCTGCAGTCACGAAAGCTTTAAGAACCAAGAAGATGAGACCCAAAAAAATTTGAATTTCGTCGCCGCTTGCGGCTGGGGTTGCCATCGTCCCCCACTCCTGATGTCGAGGGTCAATGGGCGAGGTTTAGGACTGTGGCTCATGCAGCTGCTTTGAGTACACGGTCCAGACCTCCCCAGAGACCCTGGCTGACAGAGGAGGTGTTCAAGCTGGCTGAGAAGAAGCGACAGGCCCACTCTCGTCGGCTACAGCATCCCACGTCGGAGAATGAGGAGGAGGCTTACCGCAGCCTTCGCTCGGAGGTTCGGAGAGCCGTGAGGCGCTGCAAGGATGATTGGTGGTGGTCGCGGGTTGCTGAGGAGATGGAGTCTGCCTCAGTGGCCCGCGATCACAAATCGCTCTGTCATTTCTCAAACTCCCCCTGCCCCCCCCCCCTCGTCACACATTGTCACAAATGTCTGACCCCCCCCCCCCCCAGGTTCGTGACGTCATTTATGGACGGCCCCTGAGGTGGAGCGAGTTTCTGGCCCGGAGTCGGAGCCATTCCCTGTTCACCTTGGGGTGCGACAGGGATGTCCTCTGGCTCCCACTTTATGTAACATCTATTTTGACCGCGTAGTTCGTGAAGCCTTCGATGGCTGTACCGGAGGAATTTCCATCTGGTACAGATACAATGGGAGGCTGATCGACGCCCGGGTGCGATCAAGGGATGGCTCCCTATTGGTCAACCACGTTATGTAAGCCGATGATTTGGTAATTGCTGCTCATTCAGAAGAGGAGTTGGAGACGCTGCTGCTGAGACTGGAGCTTGCCACTAAGAGGTGGGGCCTTACCATCAGCCCCACCAATAACACATTGTCCTGTGGAGGGAGCTGGTAGGAACGTCGGGTTGCTCGGTCAATGGCCTGCAGGGTCAACGGCGGCGTGGTGTATTCCGCAAATATGCCCGACTGTGAGGGCGGGCACAAGCCGGCGTGAGTAGGTTAAACGTTGAGTTTTATAAGGGCACCACGGGGTGACCAGCCCCTCCCCACCCAGCCCATCCCCACCCTCCCCTCTCTACCCAGCCCCACCCTTCCCATTTTTGGATGCACGACGGACGGACGGACACAATAATCCCTTGTGGGCTGGTGTAACCAGGAGGTTCCTACCAGTACTAAGCACCTGCCTGGGTATTTTGTACCATCGACCACTCCACCCCTCTCAACTCTGCATGAGTGTGTGCATGTGTACACAGTGGTGTGCGTGTGCATCCATATGTACACACACACACACAGTAGTGTACACACACACACAGTAGTGTACACACACACACAGTAGTGTACACACACACACAGTGGTGTACACACACACAGTGGTGTACACACACACACAGTGGTGTACACACACACACAGTGGTGTACACACACACACAGTGGTGTACACACACACACACAGTGGTGTACACACACACACACAGTGGTGTACACACACAGGACACACACAGTGGTGTACACACACACAGTGGTGAACACACACACACAGTGGTGTACACACACACACACAGTGGTGAACACACACACACACACAGTGGTGAACACACACACACACACAGTGGTGAACACACACACACACACAGTGGTGAACACACACACACACACACAGTGGTGAACACACACACACACAGTGGTGAACACACACACAGTGGTGAACACACACACACACAGTGGTGAACACACACACACACAGTGGTGAACACACACACACACACAGTGGTGTACACACACACACACAGTAGTGTACACACACACACACAGTAGTGTACACACACACACACAGTAGTGTACACACACACACACAGTAGTGTACACACACACACACAGTAGTGTACACACACACACACAGTAGTGTACACACACACACACACAGTGGTGTACACACACACACACAGTGGTGTACACACACACAGTAGTGTACACACACAGTAGTGTACACACACACACACAGTAGTGTACACACACACACACAGTAGTGTACACACACACACACACAGTGTGTACACACACACACACAGTAGTGTACACACACACACACAGTAGTGTACACACACACACACAGTGGTGTACACACACACACACAGTGGTGTACACACACACACAGTGGTGTACACACACACACACACAGTGGTGTACACACACACACACACAGTAGTGTACACACACACACACACAGTAGTGTACACACACACACACACAGTAGTGTACACACACACACACACAGTAGTGTACACACACACACACACAGTAGTGTACACACACACACACACAGTAGTGTACACACACACACACACAGTAGTGTACACACACACACACAGTAGTGTACACACACACACACAGTGGTGAACACACACACACACAGTGGTGTACACACACACACACAGTGGTGAACACACACACACAGTGGTGTACACACACACACAGTAGTGTACACACACACAGTAGTGTACACACACACACAGTAGTGTACACACACACACAGTAGTGTACACACACCACACAGTGGTGTACACACACACACACAGTGGTGTACACACACACAGTGGTGAACACACACACACAGTGGTGTACACACACACACACAGTGGTGTACACACACACACACAGTGGTGAACACACACACACACAGTGGTGTACACACACACACACAGTGGTGTACACACACACACACACACAGTGGTGTACACACACACACACACAGTGGTGTACACACACACACAGTGGTGTACACACACACACACAGTGGTGTACACACACACACACAGTGGTGAACACACACACACAGTGGTGTACACACACACACACAGTGGTGTACACACACACACACAGTGGTGTACACACACACACACAGTGGTGAACACACACACACACAGTGGTGTACACACACACACACAGTGGTGTACACACACACAGTGGTGAACACACACACACACAGTGGTGAACACACACACACACAGTGGTGTACACACACACACACAGTGGTGTACACACACACACACACACAGTAGTGTACACACACACAGTAGTGTACACACACACACACAGTAGTGTACACACACACACACAGTGGTGAACACACACACACAGTAGTGTACACACACACACACAGTGGTGAACACACACACACACACAGTGGTGTACACACACACACACAGTGGTGAACACACACACACACAGTGGTGTACACACACACACACAGTGGTGTACACACACACACACAGTGGTATACACACACACACAGTGGTGTACACACACACACACAGTGGTGTACACACACACACACACAGTAGTGTACACACACACACACACAGTGGTGTACACACACACACAGTGGTGTACACACACACACACACAGTGGTGTACACACACACACACACAGTAGTGTACACACACACACACACAGTGGTATACACACACACACAGTGGTATACACACACACACAGTGGTGTACACACACACACACAGTGGTGTACACACACACACACAGTAGTGTACACACACACACACAGTGGTGTACACACACACACACAGTGGTGAACACACACACACACAGTAGTGTACACACACACACACACAGTAGTGTACACACACACACACACAGTAGTGTACACACACACACAGTAGTGTACACACACACACAGTAGTGTACACACACACACACACAGTAGTGTACACACAACACACACACAGTAGTGTACACACACACACCACAGTAGTGTACACACACACACACAGTAGTGTACACACACACACACAGTAGTGTACACACACACACACACAGTAGTGTACACACACACAACACACAGTAGTGTACACACACACACACACAGTAGTGTACACACACACACACACAGTAGTGTACACACACACACACACAGTAGTGTACACACACACACACAGTAGTGTACACACACACACACACAGTAGTGTACACACACCACACAGTAGTGTACACACCACACAGTAGTGTACACACACACACACAGTAGTGTACACACACACACACAGTAGTGTACACACACACACACAGTAGTGTACACACACACACAGTAGTGTACACACAGTAGTGTACCACACACACCACAGTAGTGTACACACACACACACAGTAGTGTACACACACACACACAGTAGTGTACACACACACACACAGTAGTGTACACACACACACACAGTAGTGTACACACACACACAGTAGTGTACACACACACACACAGTAGTGTACACACACACACACACAGTAGTGTACACACACACACACAGTAGTGTACACACACACACACAGTAGTGTACACACACACACACACAGTAGTGTACACACACACACACACACAGTAGTGTACACACACACACACACACAGTAGTGTACACACACACACACACACAGTAGTGTACACACACACACACACACAGTAGTGTACACACACACACACACAGTAGTGTACACACACACACCACAGTAGTGTACACACACACACACAGTAGTGTACACACACACACACACAGTAGTGTACACACACACACACAGTAGTGTACACACACACACACACAGTAGTGTACACACACACACACAGTAGTGTACACACACACACACAGTGGTGAACACACACACACAGTGGTGAACACACACACACACAGAGAATCTGGGTTCAACACCGGGTCTGGGTGTCTCTCTCTCTCTCTCAGGGGGTTCACGATGGCCGTGTCTCTGTAGAGCCAACGATGATTGCTGCTGCTGCTGCAGCTGCGGGTAGCAGCAGGAGGAAGGCAGCAGCAGTGGGGGAGGGGGAGGCAGCAGGAGCAGCAGCAGGAAGGAAGCAGGAGAAGCAATTCGGTTTTATCGGCTTTATTTATTTATTTATCACGAGCGTCACATGGCAGGGTGAGCGGTGACACGCTGGGTGACCCACTGGGTGACTTGCTGGGTGACTCACTGAGTGACCTGCTGGGTGACCTGCTGGGTGACCCGCTGAGTGACTCACTGAATGACTCACTGAGTGACCTGCTGGGTGACCTGCTGAGTGACCCGCTGAGTGACCTGCTGGGTGACTCACTGAATGACTCACTGAGTGACCTGCTGGGTGACCTGCTGGGTGACCCGCTGAGTGACCCACTGAGTGACCTGCTGGGTGACTCACTGAATGACTCACTGAGTGACCTGCTGGGTGACCTGCTGGGTGACCTGCTGGGTGACCCGCTGAGTGACTCACTGAATGACTCACTGAGTGACCTGCTGGGTGACCTGCTGGGTGACCCGCTGAGTGACCCACTGAGTGACTCACTGAATGACTCACTGAGTGACCTGCTGGGTGACCTGCTGGGTGACCCGCTGAGTGACCCACTGAGTGACTCACTGAATGACTCACTGAGTGACCTGCTGGGTGACCTGCTGGGTGACCCGCTGAGTGACCCACTGAGTGACTCACTGAATGACTCACTGAGTGACCTGCTGGGTGACCTGCTGGGTGACCCGCTGAGTGACCCACTGAGTGACTCACTGAATGACTCACTGAGTGACCTGCTGGGTGACCTGCTGGGTGACCCGCTGAGTGACCCACTGAGTGACTCACTGAATGACTCACTGAGTGACCTGCTGGGTGACCTGCTGGGTGACCCGCTGAGTGACCCACTGAGTGACTCACTGAATGACTCACTGAGTGACCTGCTGGATGACCTGCTGGGTGACTCACTGGGTGACCCGCTGAGTGACCCACTGAGTGACCTGCTGAGTGACCTGCTGGGTGACTCACTGGGTGACCTGCTGGGTGACCCACTGAGTAACCCGCTGGGTGACTCACTGGGTGACCTGCTGGGTGACTCACTGGGTGACCTGCTGAGTGACCTGCTGGGTGACTCACTGGGTGACCCGCTGAGTGACCCACTGAGTGACCTGCTGAGTGACCTGCTGGGTGACTCACTGGGTGACTCACTGGGTGACCTGCTGGGTGACTCACTGGGTGACCTGCTGAGTGACCTGCTGGGTGACTCACTGGGTGACCTGCTGGGTGACCCACTGAGTGACCCGCTGGGTGACTCACTGGGTGACCTGCTGGGTGACTCACTGGGTGACCTGCTGAGTGACCTGCTGGGTGACTCACTGGGTGACCTGCTGGGTGACCCACTGAGTGACCCGCTGGGTGACTCACTGGGTGACCTGCTGAGTGACCTGCTGGGTGACTCACTGGGTGACCTGCTGAGTGACCCGCTGAGTGACTCACTGGGTGACCTGCTGAGTGACCTGCTGGGTGACTCACTGGGTGACTCGCTGAGTGACTCGCTGAGTGACCCGCTGAGTGACCCGCTGAGTGACCCGCTGGGTGACCTGCTGGGTGACTCACTGGGTGACCTGCTGAGTGACCCGCTGAGTGACCCGCTGGGTGACCCGCTGGGTGACTCACTGGGTGACCTGCTGGGTGACCTGCTGAGTGACCCGCTGAGTGACCCGCTGAGTGACCCGCTGGGTGACCCGCTGAGTGACCCGCTGGGTGACCCGCTGGGTGACCCGCTGGGTGACCCGCTGGGTGACCCGCTGGGTGACCCGCTGAGTGACCTGCTGAGTGACCTGCTGAGTGACCTGCTGGGTGACCTGCTGGGTGACCTGCTGAGTGACCTGCTGAGTGACCTGCTGAGTGACCTGCTGAGTGACCTGCTGGGTGACCTGCTGGGTGACTCAGAGTGACTCACTGGGTGACTCACTGAGTGACTCACTGAGTGACTCACTGGGTGACTCACTGGGTGACCCGCTGGGTGCACCGCTGGGTGACCCGCTGAGTGACTCACTGGGTGCACCGCTGGGTGACCCGCTGAGTGACTCACTGGGTGACCCGCTGGGTGACTCACTGAGTGACTCACTGAGTGACTCACTGGGTGACCCGCTGAGTGACTCACTGGGTGCACCGCTGGGTGACCCGCTGAGTGACTCACTGGGTGACCCGCTGGGTGACTCACTGAGTGACTCACTGAGTGACTCACTGGGTGACCCGCTGAGTGACTCACTGGGTGACCCGCTGGGTGACTCACTGAGTGACTCACTGAGTGACTCACTGGGTGACCCGCTGAGTGACTCACTGGGTGACCCGCTGGGTGACACCACTCCCGTTTCAAAAGCAGCGTCAGTAATTATAACGAGCGTGACAGCAACGAACAACAACAATCAACAACAACAACGACAACAACAACAACAATAATAGTAATATAACGACGCCGTGTCATTTACAACCGCGGTGAACGTGACGAGTTCGGTGATGGGAGTCTCCACCGAGACTCGGGGAGACCGGGGGTCAGGGTCAAGGAGACCGGGGGTCAGGGTCAGAGTCTTCACTGAGACTCAGGGAGACCGGGTCTCAGGGTCACTGAGACTCAGGGAGACCGGGTCTCAGACCCAGAGTCTCCACTGAGACTCAGGGAGACCGGGTCTCAGGGTCAGGGTGAGACTCAGGGAGACCGGGTCTCAGGGTCAGGGTGAGACTCAGGGAGACCGGGTCTCAGGGTCACTGAGACTCGGGGAGACCGGGTCTCAGGGTCAGAGTCTCCACTGAGACTCAGGGAGACCGGGTCTCAGGGTCAGAGTCTCCACTGAGACTCAGGGAGACCGGGTCTCAGGGTCAGTGAGACTCAGGGAGACCGGGTCTCAGGGTCAGAGTCTCCACTGAGACTCGGGGAGACCGGGTATCAGGGTCTCCATTGACCTTGGTGATGATCTGATAAGTCTCCTGGAACTGGGATCCTGAGACCCGGTCTCCCCGAGTCTCAGTGGAGACTCTGACCCTGAGACCCGGTCTCCCTGAGTCTCACTGACCCTGAGACCCGGTCTCCCTGAGTCTCAGTGGAGACTCTGACCCTGAGACCCGGTCTCCCTGAGTCTCAGTGGAGACTCTGACCCTGAGACCCGGTCTCCCCGAGTCTCAGTGACCCTGAGACCCGGTCTCCCCGAGTCTCAATCCAGAATCCAATTCCAAGACTCCCTCCATGTCCCCCCCCCACCCCCCCCCTCCCCCCACGTCCCCCCCCCTCGTCCCCCCCCCTCGTCCCCCCCTCCCCACCGGTGTGGCGACGAGCGCAGCCGCCACAACCACAACCGACCACAACTAAGCACAACCGACCACAACCAACCACCATCACGGCGGGGTCCGTAACGCGGCAACAACCACAAACCGCAGCCGCCACAACCGGCCACGACCGGCCACAACCGACCACAACCGACCACAACCAACCACAACCGACCACAACCGACCACAACCGACCACAACCGACCACAACCGACCACCCCGCGGGGACACAGGCCTGTGTCCATGCAACAGCAGCAGACGACGATGACGTCGTCACTCTCATCAGCCCCCCATCAGCCCCCCCCCCTCCTTCCCTAACCCCCCCTCGGCCCCCCCCCTCAGCCCTCCCCCTCAGCCCCCCCCCTCCTTCCCATCACCAGCCCCCCCCCCACATCCGCGAGCCGCTGCCGAGTGGACTGAGCCCCGTGCCGCCCAGAGAACACGTCGCGGTGGTGTTGGTGGTGGTGGTTGTTGTTGGCGGTGGTGGTGGTGGCAGTGTTGGTGGTGGCGGTGGTTGTTGGCGGTGGTGGCGGTGGTGGCGGTGGTGGTGGTGGCAGTGTTGGTGGTGGCGGTGGTGGTGGTGGTGCCGGTTGTTGGGGCTAAACGTCTCCACTTTGCTCACTTCCCAAAAAGCCAAAAACCAATAAACGGTCGCCTTTAATCAACCCCCAACCTCCTGCACCTCCTCCACCACCTCCACCTCCTCCACCACCTCCACCACCTCCACCACCTCCACCACCTCCACCACCTCCACCACCTCCTCCATCCCACCCACAGCGTCACACACCCACAGCGTCCCACCCAGAGCGTCACACACCCAGTGTCACACCACAGCGTCACACCCCAGTGTCACACCAGTGTCACACCCACAGCGTCACACCCACAGCGTCACACACCCACAGCGTCACACCCACAGCGTCACACACCCAGTGTCCCACTCACAGCATCCCACCCACAGCGTCACACACCCAGTGTCACACCCACAGCATCCCACCCACAGCGTCACACACCCCAGTGTCCCACTCACAGCGTCACACACCCAGTGTCACACCCACAGCATCCCACCCACAGCGTCACACACCCAGTGTCACACCCACAGCATCCCACCCACAGCGTCACACACCCAGTGTCACACCACAGCGTCACACCCCCCACAGCGCGGGTGTGGGGGGTAAGTAGCTGTTGGGCTGGGCTGGGCTGGCTGGGCTGGGCTGGGTTGCCTGGGCTGGGCTGGCTGGGCTGGGCTGGCTGCCTGGGCTGGGCTGGGCTGGCTAGATGGCTATCTGGCTGGGGAGCTATCTCACTGACTGAGTGAGTGGCTGAGTGACTATCTGGCTGGCATGTGATATGGCTGAGTGACTATCTGGCTGAGTGACTATATGGCTGGCATGTGATATGGCTGACTGAGTGACTGGCTGAGTGACTATCTGGCTGGCATGTGATATGGCTGACTGAGTGACTGGCTGAGTGACTATATGGCTGGCATGTGATATGGCTGACTGAGTGACTGGCTGAGTGACTATATGGCTGGCATGTGATATGGCTGGCTGAGTGACTGACTGAGTGACTATCTGGCTGGCATGTGATATGGCTGGCTGAGTGACTGACTGAGTGACTATCTGACTGGCATGTGATATGGCTGACTGAGTGACTGGCTGAGTGACTATCTGGCTGGCATGTGATATGGCTGGCTGAGTGACTATCTGAGTGACTATCTGGCTGGCATGTGATATGGCTGGCTGAGTGTCTGAGTGACTATCTGGCTGGCATGTGATATGGCTGGCTGAGTGACTGACTGAGTGACTATCTGGCTGGCATGTGATATGGCTAAGTGACTGGCTGAGTGACTATCTGGCTGGCATGTGATATGGCTGGCTGAGTGACTATCTGAGTGACTATCTGGCTGGCATGTGATATGGCTGGCTGAGTGTCTATCTGGCTGGCTGAGTGACTATCTGAGTGACTATCTGGCTGGCATGTGATATGGCTGGCTGAGTGTCTATCTGGCTGGCTGAGTGACTGGCTGAGTGACTATCTGGCTGGCATGTGATATGGCTGGCTGAGTGACTATCTGGCTGGCATGTGATATGGCTGGCTGACTAAGTGACTGACTGAGTGACTATCTGGCTGGCATGTGATATGGCTGACTGAGTGACTGGCTGAGTGACTATCTGGCTGGCATGTGATATGGCTGACTGAGTGACTGGCTGAGTGACTATATGGCTGGCATGTGATATGGCTGACTGAGTGACTGGCTGAGTGACTATCTGGCTGGCATGTGATATGGCTGACTGAGTGACTGGCTGAGTGACTATATGGCTGGCATGTGATATGGCTGGCTGAGTGACTGACTGAGTGACTATCTGGCTGGCATGTGATATGGCTGGCTGAGTGACTGACTGAGTGACTATCTGACTGGCATGTGATATGGCTGACTGAGTGACTGGCTGAGTGACTATCTGGCTGGCATGTGATATGGCTGGCTGAGTGACTGACTGAGTGACTATCTGGCTGGCATGTGATATGGCTGACTGAGTGACTGGCTGAGTGACTATCTGGCTGGCATGTGATATGGCTGGCTGAGTGACTGACTGAGTGACTATCTGGCTGGCATGTGATATGGCTAAGTGACTGAGTGAGTGACTATCTGGCTGGCATGTGATATGGCTGGCTGAGTGACTGGCTGAGTGACTATCTGGCTGGCATGTGATATGGCTGAGTGACTGGCTGAGTGACTATCTGGCTGGCATGTGATATGGCTGACTAAGTGACTGGCTGAGTGACTATCTGGCTGGCATGTGATATGGCTGACTGAGTGACTGGCTGAGTGACTATCTGGCTGACATGTGATATGGCTGGCTGAGTGACTGACTGAGTGACTATCTGGCTGGCATGTGATATGGCTGACTAAGTGACTGGCTGAGTGACTATCTGGCTGACATGTGATATGGCTGGCTGAGTGACTGGCTGAGTGACTATCTGGCTGGCATGTGATATGGCTGGCTGAGTGACTATCTGGCTGGCTGAGTGACTATCTGGCTGGCTGAGTGACTATCTGGCTGGCATGTGATATGGCTGACTGAGTGACTGACTGAGTGACTATCTGGCTGGCATGTGATATGGCTGACTGAGTGACTGGCTGAGTGACTATCTGGCTGGCATGTGATATGGCTGACTGAGTGACTGGCTGAGTGACTATCTGGCTGGCATGTGATATGGCTGGCTGAGTGACTGACTGAGTGACTATCTGGCTGGCATGTGATATGGCTGGCTGAGTGACTGACTGAGTGACTATCTGACTGGCATGTGATATGGCTGACTGAGTGACTGGCTGAGTGACTATCTGGCTGGCATGTGATATGGCTGGCTGAGTGACTATCTGAGTGACTATCTGGCTGGCATGTGATATGGCTGGCTGAGTGTCTGAGTGACTATCTGGCTGGCATGTGATATGGCTGGCTGAGTGACTGACTGAGTGACTATCTGGCTGGCATGTGATATGGCTAAGTGACTGGCTGAGTGACTATCTGGCTGGCATGTGATATGGCTGGCTGAGTGACTATCTGAGTGACTATCTGGCTGGCATGTGATATGGCTGGCTGAGTGTCTATCTGGCTGGCTGAGTGACTATCTGAGTGACTATCTGGCTGGCATGTGATATGGCTGGCTGAGTGTCTATCTGGCTGGCTGAGTGACTGGCTGAGTGACTATCTGGCTGGCATGTGATATGGCTGGCTGAGTGACTATCTGGCTGGCATGTGATATGGCTGGCTGACTAAGTGACTGACTGAGTGACTATCTGGCTGGCATGTGATATGGCTGACTGAGTGACTGGCTGAGTGACTATCTGGCTGGCATGTGATATGGCTGACTGAGTGACTGGCTGAGTGACTATATGGCTGGCATGTGATATGGCTGACTGAGTGACTGGCTGAGTGACTATCTGGCTGGCATGTGATATGGCTGACTGAGTGACTGGCTGAGTGACTATATGGCTGGCATGTGATATGGCTGGCTGAGTGACTGACTGAGTGACTATCTGGCTGGCATGTGATATGGCTGGCTGAGTGACTGACTGAGTGACTATCTGACTGGCATGTGATATGGCTGACTGAGTGACTGGCTGAGTGACTATCTGGCTGGCATGTGATATGGCTGGCTGAGTGACTGACTGAGTGACTATCTGGCTGGCATGTGATATGGCTGACTGAGTGACTGGCTGAGTGACTATCTGGCTGGCATGTGATATGGCTGGCTGAGTGACTGACTGAGTGACTATCTGGCTGGCATGTGATATGGCTAAGTGACTGAGTGAGTGACTATCTGGCTGGCATGTGATATGGCTGGCTGAGTGACTGGCTGAGTGACTATCTGGCTGGCATGTGATATGGCTGGCTGAGTGACTATCTGGCTGGCTGAGTGACTATCTGGCTGGCTGAGTGACTATCTGGCTGGCATGTGATATGGCTGGCTGAGTGACTGGCTGAGTGACTATCTGGCTGGCTGAGTGACTATCTGGCTGGCTGAGTGACTATCTGGCTGGCATGTGATATGGCTGGCTGAGTGACTGGCTGAGTGACTATCTGGCTGGCATGTGATATGGCTGGCTGAGTGACTATCTGGCTGGCTGAGTGACTATCTGGCTGGCTGAGTGACTATCTGGCTGGCATGTGATATGGCTGGCTGAGTGACTGGCTGAGTGACTATCTGGCTGGCATGTGATATGGCTGGCTGAGTGACTGGCTGAGTGACTATCTGGCTGGCTGAGTGACTATCTGGCTGGCTGAGTGACTATCTGGCTGGCATGTGATATGGCTGGCTGAGTGACTATCTGGCTGGCTGAGTGACTATCTGGCTGGCATGTGATATGGCTGACTGAGTGACTGGCTGAGTGACTATATGGCTGGCATGTGATATGGCTGGCTGAGTGACTGACTGAGTGACTATCTGGCTGGCATGTGATATGGCTGGCTGAGTGACTGGCTGAGTGACTATCTGGCTGGCATGTGATATGGCTGACTGAGTGACTGGCTGAGTGACTATCTGGCTGGCATGTGATATGGCTGGCTGAGTGACTGGCTGAGTGACTATCTGGCTGGCATGTGATATGGCTGGCTGAGTGACTGGCTGAGTGACTATCTGGCTGGCATGTGATATGGCTGGCTGAGTGACTATCTGGCTGGCTGAGTGACTATCTGGCTGGCTGAGTGACTATCTGGCTGGCATGTGATATGGCTGACTGAGTGACTGGCTGAGTGACTATCTGGCTGGCATGTGATATGGCTGGCTGAGTGACTGGCTGAGTGACTATCTGGCTGGCATGTGATATGGCTGGCTGAGTGACTATCTGGCTGGCTGAGTGAGTGGGTGAACTAACGGAGCGACTGGCATTCAGCCAGAGAGGGGCGGTCCATCCAATCCAGTCCGATCCGGTTGTGCGGTCCGGTCTGATCCAGTCCGTTCCGGTTCTGCGGCCCGGTCTGATCCAGTCCGATCCGGTTCTGCGGTCCGGTCTGATCCAGTCCGTTCCGGTTCTGCGGTCCGGTCTGATCCAGTCCGTTCCGGTTCTGCGGTCCGGTCTGATCCAGTCCGTTCCGGCTGTGTGGTCCGGTCTGATCCGGTTCAGAACGGCTCCTCCTGATGGTCATCCTCCTGCTGCTGCTGCTGCGGTAACGGTAACGGCGGCAAAACCGCCGCTATCCCACCACCACCACCGGCACCACCGGCACCACCGCCACCACCGGCACCACCGCCACCGCCACCGCCACCGCCGGCGAGGAAAGCTCCCACGACCTCCTCGGTGGAGCGAGCGGCGCGCGAGACTTCATCCAGCGCGTCGTTCACCTCGAACTGCCGGTCCCTGAGCTGGTTCCAGTTGGCCAGCACCTCGTGGAAGTGGAACACTTTGGCGACGTCGCCCACCGAGTTGTAGAGCTTGATGAGGCCGCGGTAGTCGTACTCCAGGCCGCTGTAGCCTTCGCCAAAGAGCTTCTTGCCTGGCGGGGCGGTGGGAGGGTGGGTGGAGGGGTGGGTGGAGGGGTGGGTGGAGGGGTGGGTGGGTGGAGGGGTGGGGGGGTGGGTGGGTGGGTGGGTGGAGGGGGGGGGTGGGTGGAGGGTGGGTGGAGGGGTGGGTGGAGGGGCGGGTGGGTGGGGTTAACGGTGGTGGTGGTGGTGGCGGCCGTGGTGGGTGGAGGGGTGGGGGGGTGGGTGGGTGGAGGGGTGGAGGAGGGGTGGAGGGTGGGTGGAGGGTGGGTGGAGGGTGGGTGGGTGGAGGGGTGGAGGGTGGGTGTGGTTAATGGTGACGGCGGTTGTGGTGGTGTTGGTGGTGGCGGTGTTGGGTTGGTGGTGGTGGTGGCGGTGTTGGTGGTGGTGGTGGCGGTGGCGGTAGTGGCGGTGGTGGTGGCGGTGGTGGCAGCGGTGGTGGTGGTGGCAGTGGTGTTGGCGTTGGTGGTGTTGGTGGTGGCGGTGGTGTTGGTGGTGGTGTTGGCGGTGGTGGTGTTGGTGGTGGCGGTGGTGGCAGTGGTGTTGGCGTTGGTGGTGTTGGTGGTGGCGGTGGTGGTAGTGGTGGCGGTGGTGGCAGTGGTGTTGGCGTTGGTGGTGTTGGTGGTGGTGATGGTGGTGTTGGTGGTGGCAGTGGCGGTGGTGATGGTGGTGTTGGTGGTGGTGATGGTGGTGTTGGTGGTGGCGGTGGTGATGGTGGTGTTGGTGGTGGCGGTGGTGATGGTGGTGTTGGTGGTGTTGGTGGTGTTGGTGGTGGCGGTGGTGATGGTGGTGTTGGTGGTGGCGGTGGTGTTGGCGGTGGTGGCGGTGGTGATGGTGGTGATGATGGTGGCGGTGGTGATGGTGGTGTTGGTGGTGGCGGTGGTGATGGTGGTGTTGGTGGTGGCGGTGGTGATGGTGGTGTTGGTGGTGGCGGTGGTGATGGTGGTGTTGGTGGTGGCGGTGGTGATGGTGGTGTTGGTGGTGTTGGTGGTGTTGGCGGTGGTGATGGTGGTGTTGGTGGTGGCGGTGGTGATGGTGGTGTTGGTGGTGGCGGTGGTGATGGTGGGTGTTGGCGGTGGTGGCGGTGGTGATGGTGGTGATGATGGTGGCGGTGGTGAGGTGGTGGTTGGTGGGGGCGGTGGGTGATGGTGGTGTTGGTGGTGGCGGTGGTGATGGTGGTGTTGGTGGTGGCGGTGGTGATGGTGGTGATGATGGTGGCGGTGGTGATGGTGGTGTTGGTGTTGGCGGTGGTGATGGTGGTGTTGGTGGTGTTGGTGGTGTTGGCGGTGGTGATGGTGGTGTTGGTGGTGGCGGTGGTGATGGTGGTGTTGGTGGTTGGCGGTGGTGATGGTGGTGGTTGGTGGTGGCGGTGGTGATGGTGGTGTTGGTGGTGGCGGTGGTGATGGTGGTGTTGGTGGTGTTGGTGGTGTTGGCGGTGGTGATGGTGGTGTTGGTGGTGGCGGTGGTGATGGTGGTGTTGGTGGTGGCGGTGGTGATGGTGGTGTTGGCGGTGGTGGCGGTGGTGATGGTGGTGATGATGGTGGCGGTGGTGATGGTGGTGTTGGTGGTGGCGGTGGTGATGGTGGTGTTGGTGGTGGCGGTGGTGATGGTGGGTTGGTGGTGGCGGTGGTGATGGTGGTGATGATGGTGGCGGTGGTGATGGTGGTGTTGGTGGTGTTGGTGGTGTTGGCGGTGGTGATGGTGGTGTTGGTGGTGGCGGTGGTGATGGTGGTGTTGGTGGTGGCGGTGGTGATGGTGGTGTTGGCGGTGGTGGGCGGTGGTGATGGTGGTGTTGGTGGTGGCGGTGGTGATGGTGGTGTTGGTGGTGGCGGGTGTGATGGTGGTGTTGGTGGTGGTGATGGTGGTGTTGGTGGTGGCGGTGGTGATGGTGGTGTTGTGTGGTGGTGATGGTGGTGTTGGTGGTGGCGGTGGTGATGGTGGTGTTGGCGGTGGTGATGGTGGTGTTGGCGGTGGCGGTGGTGATGGTGGTGTTGGCGGTGGTGGCGGTGGTGATGGTGGTGTTGGTGGTGGTGATGGGGTGTGGTGGTGGGTGGCGGTGGTGATGGTGGTGTTGGCGGTGGTGATGGTGGTGTTGGTGGTGGCGGTGGTGATGGTGGTGTTGGCGGTGGTGATGGTGGTGTGGCGGTGGTGATGGTGGTGTTGGTGGTGGCGGTGGTGATGGTGGTGTTGGCGGTGGTGATGGTGGTGTTGGTGGTGGCGGTGGTGATGGTGGTGTTGGCGGTGGTGATGGTGGTGTTGGTGGTGGTGATGGTGGTGTTGGTGGTGGCGGTGGTGATGGTGGTGTTGGCGGTGGTGATGGTGGTGTTGGTGGTGGTGATGGTGGTGTTGGTGGTGGCGGTGGTGATGGTGGTGTTGGCGGGTGGTGATGGTGGTGTTGGTGGTGGTGATGGTGGTGTTGGTGGTGGCGGTGGTGATGGTGGTGTTGGCGGTGGTGATGGTGGTGTTGGTGGTGGTGATGGTGGTGTTGGTGGTGGCGGTGGTGATGGTGGTGTTGGCGGTGGTGATGGTGGTGTTGGTGGTGGTGATGGTGGTGTTGGTGGTGGCGGTGGTGATGGTGGTGTTGGCGGTGGTGATGGTGGTGTTGGTGGTGGCGGGTGGTGATGGTGGTGTTGGCGGTGGTGATGGTGGTGTTGGTGGTGGCGGTGGTGATGGTGGTGTTGGCGGTGGTGATGGTGGTGTTGGTGGTGGTGATGGTGGTGTTGGTGGTGGCGGTGGTGATGGTGGTGTTGGCGGTGGTGATGGTGGTGTTGGTGGTGGTGATGGTGGTGTTGGTGGTGGCGGTGGTGATGGTGGTGTTGGCGGTGGTGATGGTGGTGTTGGTGGTGGCGGTGGTGATGGTGGTGTTGGTGGTGGTGATGGTGGTGTTGGTGGTGGCGGTGGTGATGGTGGTGTTGGCGGTGGTGATGGTGGTGTTGGCGGTGGTGGCGGTGGTGATGGTGGTGTTGGTGGTGGCGGTGGTGATGGTGGTGTTGGCGGTGGTGATGTGGTGTTGGCGGTGGTGATGGTGGTGTTGGTGGTGGCGGTGGTGATGGTGGTGTTGGCGGTGGTGGTGGTGGTGATGGTGGTGTTGGTGTTGGCGGTGGTGATGGTGGTGTTGGCGGTGGGATGGTGGTGGTGATGGTGGTGTTGGCGGTGGTGATGGTGGTGTTGGTGGTGGCGGTGGTGATGGTGGTGTTGGCGGTGGTGATGGTGGTGTTGGCGGTGGTGGTGGTGGTGATGGTGGTGTTGGTGTTGGCGGTGGTGATGGTGGTGTTGGCGGTGGTGATGGTGGTGTTGGCGGTGGTGGCGGTGGTGATGGTGGTGTTGGTGGTGGCGGGTGGTGATGGTGGTGTTGGCGGTGGTGATGGTGGTGTTGGCGGTGTTGGTGGTGGTGATGGTGGTGTTGGTGGTGGCGGTGGTGATGGTGGTGTTGGCGGTGGTGATGGTGGTGTTGGCGGTGGTGATGGTGGTGTTGGCGGTGGTGATGGTGGTGTTGGTGGTGGCGGTGGTGATGGTGGTGTTGGTGGTGTTGGTGGTGTTGGCGGTGGTGATGGCGGTGGTGATGGTGGTGTTGGTGGTGGCGGTGGTGGCGGTGGTGGTGTTGGCGGTGGTGATGGTGGTGTTGGTGGTGGCGGGTGGTGATGGTGGTGTTGGTGGTGTTGGTGGTGTGGCGGTGGTGATGGTGGTGTTGGTGGTGGCGGTGGTGATGGTGGTGTTGGTGGTGTTGGTGGTGGTGATGGTGGTGTTGGTGGTGGCGGTGGTGATGGTGGTGTTGGTGGTGGTGATGGTGGTGTTGGTGGTGGCGGTGGTGATGGTGGTGTTGGTGGTGGTGATGGTGGTGTTGGCGGTGGTGGCGGTGGTGTTGGCGGTGGTGGCGGTGGTGATGGTGGTGTTGGTGGTGGCGGTGGTGATGGTGGTGTTGGTGGTGTTGGTGGTGTTGGCGGTGGTGTTGGTGGTGTTGGTGGTGGCGGTGGTGATGGTGGTGTTGGTGGTGTTGGTGGTGTTGGTGGTGGTGATGGTGGTGTTGGTGGTGGCGGTGGTGATGGTGGTGTTGGTGGTGGTGATGGTGGTGTTGGTGGTGGCGGTGGTGATGGTGGTGTTGGTGGTGGTGATGGTGTGTTGGTGGTGGCGGTGGTGATGGTGGTGTTGGTGGTGGTGTTGGCGGTGGTGATGGCGGTGGTGTTGGCGGTGGTGTTGGCGGTGGTGATGGTGGTGTTGGTGGTGGCGGTGGTGATGGTGGTGTTGGTGGTGGCGGTGGTGGCGGTGGTGATGGTGGTGTTGGCGGTGGTGATGGTGGTGTTGGCGGTGGTGATGGTGGTGTTGGTGGTGGTGATGGTGGTGTTGGCGGTGGTGATGGTGGTGTTGGCGGTGGTGATGGTGGTGTTGGTGATGGTGGTGTTGGCGGTGGTGATGGTGGTGTTGCGGTGGTGGCGGTGGTGATGGTGGTGTTGGCGGTGGTGATGGTGGTGTTGGTGGTGGTGATGGTGGTGTTGGCGGTGGTGATGGTGGTGTTGGTGGTGGTGATGGTGGTGTTGGCGGTGGTGGCGGTGGTGATGGTGGTGGTGTTGGCGGTGGTGATGGTGGTGGTGTTGGCGGTGGTGATGGTGGTGGTGTTGGCGGTGGTGATGGCGGTGGTGATGGTGGTGTTGGTGGTGGTGTTGGCGGTGGTGATGGTGGTGTTGGCGGTGGTGGCGGTGGTGTTGGCGGTGGTGGCGGTGTGTTGGCGGTGGTGATGGTGGTGTTGGCGGTGGTGATGGTGGTGTTGGTGATGGTGGTGTGGCGGTGGTGATGGTGGTGTTGGTGGTGGCGGTGTTGGCGGTGGTGATGGTGGTGTTGGCGGTGGTGATGGTGGTGTTGGCGGTGGTGATGGTGGTGGTGTTGGTGGTGGTGTTGGCGGTGGTGATGGCGGGTGGTGATGGTGGTGTTGGCGGTGGTGGCGGTGGTGATGGTGGTGGTGTTGGTGGTGGTGTTGGCGGTGGTGATGGCGGTGGTGATGGTGGTGTTGGTGGTGGTGTTGGCGGTGGTGATGGTGGTGTTGGCGGTGGTGGCGGTGGTGTTGGCGGTGGTGGCGGTGGTGTTGGCGGTGGTGGCGGTGGTGGCGGTGGTGTTGGCAGGTGGTGGCGGTGGTGATGGTGGTGTTGGTGGTGGTGTTGGTGGTGGTGTTGGTGGTGGCGGTGGTGTTGGCGGTGGTGGCGGTGGTGGCGGTGGTGTTGGCTGGTGGTGGCGGTGGTGATGGTGGTGTTGGTGGTGGTGTTGGTGGTGGTGTCGGTGGTGGCGGTGGTGTTGGCGGTGGTGGCGGTGGTGTTGGCGGTGGTGGCGGTGGTGTTGGTGGTGGTGATGGTGGTGTTGGTGGTGGCGGTGGTGTTGGCGGTGGTGTTGGTGGTGGCGGTGGTGTTGGTGGTGGTGTTGGTGGTGGTGTTGGTGTTGGCGGTGGTGTTGGTGGTGGCGGTGGTGTTGGCGGTGGTGTTGGTGTTGGCGGTGGTGTTGGTGGTGGCGGTGGTGTTGGTGGTGGTGTTGGTGTTGGCGGTGGTGATGGCGGTGTTGGTGGTGGCGGTGGTGGCAGTGGCGGTGGTGGTGTCCGGCAAGAACAACTCCTACCTCCCCGTGGTGCCGGACGGCAACGCTGTGGTGGGCAGTGCTGTGGGGGGAGGGCCAACTCAGATTGGCCTCTCCCCTCATGGCGTCTGTAGCCACCACAGCGGCCAAACCAGAGGTCGCAGACGGGTTTTGATTCCTTACCCGTACCCGCCGCACCAGGGTCGCAAATGGGTAGCCGTACCCGGCCGGGTGTAGCTGTGTGTGTGTAGCTGTGTGTGTAGCTGTGTGTGTAGCTGTGTGTGTGTTGTAGCTGTGTGTGTGTAGCTGTGTGTGTAGCTGTGTGTGTAGCTGTGTGTGTGTGTGTAGCTGTGTGTGTGTAGCTGTGTGTGTAGCTGTGTGTGTGTGTGTAGCTGTGTGTGTGTGTGTAGCTGTGTGTGTAGCTGTGTGTGTAGCTGTGTGTGTGTGTGTAGCTGTGTGTGTAGCTGTGTGTGTGTGTGTAGCTGTGTGTGTGTGTGTAGCTGTGTGTGTGTAGCTGTGTGTGTAGCTGTGTGTGTAGCTGTGTGTGTGTGTGTAGCTGTGTGTGTGTAGCTGTGTGTGTGTAGCTGTGTGTGTGTACCGATAGCGATGGACCTCAGGTAGAGGCGCTCTGCGTCGTCGTAGAGGTGCATGTCGTAGTTGTAGAGCGAGGCCAGGTGACCCACGGACAGAGCGACCTCGTAGTCCTCATCGCCCAGCAGCTGCTCCTTGATCTGGATGGCCTTGACGTGCATCTCCTCCGCCTCCTGCGCACACAGAGACACAGACACGCACACACAGTCACACACACACACACAGTCACACACACACACAGTCACACGCACACGCACAGTTACACACAGACACAGTGTACACACAGCCATACACACACACAGTGTACACACACAGTTACACACACACAGTCACAGTCACACAGTATACACACACACACAGAGTCACACACACACACACAGTCAGACACATACACACACAGTGTACACACACACAGAGTGTACACACACACAGTGTACACACACACACAGTCACACACACACAAACACAGTGTACACACACACAGTCACACACACACACAGTGTACACACACACAGAGTCACACACACACAGTCACAGTCAGACACATACACACACAGTGTACACACACACACAGTGTACACACACACACACACAGTGTACACACACAGTGTACACACACACAGTCACACCACACAGTGTACACACACACTACAGTGTACACACACATACAGTGTACACACACATACAGTGTACACACACACACAGTGTACACACACACAGTGTACACACACACACACACAGTCAGTCACACACAGACACAGTCACAGTCAGTCACACACAGACACAGTCACACACATACACAGACACAGTCACACACATACACAGACACAGTCACAGTCAGTCACACACAGAGACACCACAGAGGCACACACATACAGACACAGACACACAGTGTACACACACACAGTGTACACACACACACACAGTGTACACACACACAGTCACACACACAGACACACAGTCACACACACACAGACACACACAGTCACACAGTGTACACACAGAGACACAGTCAGTCACACACACAGACACGCACAGTCCACACAGAAAGACACACACAGTGTACACACACACAGTGTACACACACACACACACAGTGACACACACACAGTGTACCACACACACACAGTGTACACACACACAGTACACACACACAGTGTCACACAAACACACACATGGTACACACA